ATTGTGTACTTTCCACCGTAAGGGTAAGCCACGTTGAAATGGATGATGTGCTGTATTAGAAACGATACATAGGATGGTTGTGAGAGGCCTAATGGTGAATTGTTTCCAGATTTCGTGTGCCATAGTACTGTGCCCACTGCCATGACTACATGGCCTAACCTTCGTATTATTATCGTGAAGCGCTCATAAAATCAGAGCACACATTGTGTAATTGTAGTAATTACTTTTTGTACATTGTAATTTCATTTGTTCCCTGCACACTTACTTGGTGTGTAAAGGCAGCACTAATTTGCACATTGTGTTGCACGTTTGATTTTGTGCTTTGCAAATAATGCAAACTACCCAAAGAGCCGTTAATAAATTAACTTGGAAAACTGTTTGTATTCCTTCGGGAAAGTATGTACACATAAGATTGGATAGATAAGAAGGAGCAGTTACAGTTAGACAGCAGAATCAAGAAATAAGATTGATCGAAAAGGTGCTCCAAGGGCTAAGTATACAGATTGAAATTACCTACCCTAACACAGTTAACCCTAAGGATTGTAAAGGGGGTCATTGATAGGAAAGGGGATCCAAGGGCTAAGGATACAGATGGAGGTACCCCACCCTAACCCTAACACAGCTAACCCTAAGGATTGTAAAGGGGCTGATTAATAGGAGGGGATCCAAGGGCTAAGGATACAGATGGAGGTATCCTGCCTAACCCTAACAGCTAACCCTAAGGATTGTAAAGGGCTGATTAATCGGAAAGGGGATCCAAGGGCTAAGGATACAGTTGGGGTGACCTACCCTGACCCTAACATAACTAACCCTAAGGATCGGAAAGGGGTGTTGGATCGGAAAGGGGATCCAAGGGCTAAGGATACAGTTGCGGGGTGACCTACCTGGCCCTGATATAACTAACCCTAAGGATTGGAAAGGGGTGTTGGATCGGAAGGGGATCCAAGGGCTAAGGATACAGTTGGGGTGACCTACCCTGGTCCCTGATATAAACTAACCCGAAGTATCGGAAAGGTGTTGATCGGAAAGGGATCCAAGGGCTAAGGATACAGTTGGGGTGACCTACCCTGGGCCCCTGATATAACTAACCCTAAGATTTGGAAAGGGTGTTGGATCGGAAAGGGGATCCAAGGGCTAAGGATACAGATAGAGGCATCCTGCCTAAACCTAACCCAGATAACCCTAAGTGATTGTAAAGGCTGATTAATCGGAAAGGGGATCCAAGGGCTAAGGATACAGTTGGGGTGACCCACCTCGACCCTAACATAACCAACCCTAAGGATCTGGAAAGGGGTGTTGGATCGGAAAGGGGATCCAAGGGCTAAGGGATACAGCTTAGGTGACCTACCCTGGCCCTGATATAACTAACCCTAAGGATTGGAAAGGTGTGGGGCTGATCGGAAAAGGGATCCAAGGGCTAAGGATACAGTTGGGGGTGACCTACCCTGGCCCTGATATAACTAACCCTAAGGATTGGAAAGGTGTTGGATCGGAAAGGGGATCCAAGGGCTAAGGATACAGTTGGGGGTGACTCCACCCTGACCCTGATATAACTAACCCTAATGGATTGGAAAGGGTGTTGGATCGGAAAGGGATCCAAGGGCTAAGGATACAGTTGAGGGTAACCTACCCTATGCCTTTGTATGGCATTAATGAGTAATACATATAAAAGGTGAAATTATGGATGTCAATTGCTTTTACTATGAGAAACACTACATATATTCTTACTGTTTCATCGGGTGAATGATTATTATGAAGAAAAAACCCAAACAAAACCATGCCAACACCTCATCATGAAAAGAGAGATAACCATCACAGAAGCTGACCAAGGCATGTAGTCATGAACTCCCCCAGGTTTCCTCCAGCTCGTCAACCACACCCTCTGACACCACCACCACCACCACCACCCACCTACCTCACCATCCAGAAATGCCCCACTGCCAAACTAGGAACTCAACACAAGAAGACCTTAGACTCTACAACTAGTCTCTGAAATGAACACATTTAACAGAAAAAAGGCTCATAGTGAAAAAATCAAAATATAATGAAAAGGAGCCCTGAGACGTTCTTCATTTTCAGAGACTAAACAAATCTGCAGAGAGATAATTTTACAATGGTTCTTATCACACTACTGCTGAAATTGTTTGTGACAGAAAATAAGAATAATTATTGCCCCCACCACCTCCCCGTCCTACTGTCAGTGGTGTGGGCAGTTTTTGGGTAATGAGTATCAAGTGTCGCCAAATCTATTTTGAGAGCAAGCAGGGATACCAGCTAAGAGAAGCATCTCCTGATGTTCCTATGGCTGGACAACTGGATCTCACAAAAATTCCAAAATTACTTATATTCTCCAAAATCCAAAGGTTCTGTCTGCACTATATGTGGAAGTTTAATTGATGTTGCATCGAACAGGTGAAAATGTCTTTTTTATTGGAAGTACTAAGACAGAGCCATGTCTTCTGATCGAAAAATGTTCACAGGGAATGTTCTACACATACTGTGTATAGAAAATGTTTAGGTGAGGTCACTCGTGTGGACAATACTTTGTGCCTTGAAAAGAAAACTGTAATTAATGTATACTATTACTACCAAAGCTGTGGAACTGAAGAGAAAAAGATGTACAGTAGGATTCAAATAGTATTTCCTTAGGCCTTAGAGACCTTAGATGTTGGTATGCATTACATACTAATAAACAATGGTTTTCGTCTTCAATATATCATTCTTTGCACACAAGACATAATCTATCAACTAAAGTTTCTTTAACATATCTGTCAGTTTCAATTCGTGAAGAACATCTAAATTGAGCAAATGCGGCCCTGAATTTTGAAATTGTGAGTTCTTTGATATACAATCCTAAGCCAAATGATGATTTAAACGAAATATAGATGGAACATTTAGTGCTGCTATCGAAGGCTGCATGCCCATCTTGCTCATAAGATACTTTAAGTCTGTATACAAACACCGACATAACATTTTTAACACTAACTACACATTGTTCCTTCAAAGATAGCAAAATCCATGCATGTAGATAATATGTTTGATCTTAGCGGCCCAGTTAGTTTTAACCTTGATACAATCTAGAACTAATAACTTATAACATTTTTTCACAAATCTCGTATCAGGCATATTGCACATTTTACACCAATAAGCAACGGCCCTTTATAAGTTAAACTATACACTGGATAACGTGCACATTCTCCCAAGAATCGTTTACGTGCAAACATTTGTAAAATTTCAACTTCTTGAGAATTATGTAAGCCCCATATTTCCGATCCATAGAGGAGAATAGGGCTAATTTTAGAGTAAAAAAATCTTAAAAAATAGATCAGATGGCAATTAAATAATAATAATAATAATAATGGTGCATTTATATAGCGCTAATTCCAAACATAAGGATGCTCAAAGCGTACAAACATGGTTTGATATTAGGGAAAGTCAGGGAAAGCTTGGCGAAAGAGGAAAGTTTTTAGTAAGGATTTAAAGGACGACAACGTTTGAGAGTCTTTGAGTTCTTGGGGCAGATTATTCCACTCAGTTGCTGCGGCATACGCAAATGAGAAAATCGAGAAAATGTGGGAGCAGTGCTGTGGTCCTGCTGCCTGTCAGGCGCTTACCACCATCAGTAGGATTAAGTATATGTAAAGATTTAAGTACACTATACAAAATGTTTTGTCACTAAAGTCATTGATAAAGTCACAAATGCCTACATCGTTGAGGTACACTGCTTTGAGCCTAATGATTTATATTTCTCTGTTTGTTTCTTCATCATGGTAATCAAGGGTGACACAACAATGACAGTAGCATGGCTTGTATTTTCTACTGACTTGTATATATAAATAGTGAGAATTTCGAATGTCAGTGATTTTCCACTCCTGGTGGAAGAACAAAATAACACATCTTCACCACTTAAAGTACAATGGACAAATGCTATGTATATTTGCTTTCATCCTCATCAAAGTTCCAATTCATTTTACCCTGAGATGGAAACATTTCGAAATCATCCCCCTCCTCCTCACCAGTGTAAAATGAAACAGTGAAAGAAAATACTCAGATTTTTTAAGTCATCAGGTCTCTAGTGTAATCAAACATGTTGTTTGTCTGGAGAGGACAGGGCAGAAGCAGGAGGCCTTGGCTCAGTGTGGGGTCTTGGGAGTGGCGGGGAGGCTCCCATGAGTTAATATTAAACACCAGTGACAGCTAGATATCAACTGATAATTAAAGCCCTGTGCTGGCTTGTAGAATTCAGCAGATTGGTACAGACCTTGAAGCTGTGGAAATCTACACTTGCCACATTTTCTAGACTTGCGCGGGATTTCTTGGATATATTTGCTTCAGGGTCTGTATAACAGACTAAAGAAGACCCTGAAAGATCTTCACCAGCGAAGAAAGAGAAATGATGCCACCTTCATCCAGCAACATACGCTAAGATACAGCCACAATCAAGATACACAAGCCAGCAGCATACTTGTATGCTGCAGAGGATATATTTTCTATAAACTACTCAGTTCTTTTCCCGTCTGTAAGCCCTTCAAGCAAAGATGGAAAGTACCACATCAGCGAATCCTCCACATTGGATAACCCACTGAAAGAAGCAAATCTCACAGGCACCATGGTCAACGACCTGTTCACCAACATATTGCTACTAGAAGATGGCGCAACAAGCTACAAACCAGAACAGACTACCTAGACACCACACACACTACAGAAAGCATCATCAACATTGAGTCCAGCTGCTTTCACACCTCCTACAATAACTTCAATATGACCTGCACACAAATACATGCACTGTCTACGGGTTCCCCTATATCCACTCATTACTGAAATCAGCCCTCTCCCTCTCCCTCACCCTCTCACAGCGCCACTAAACCCCTCTGTTAGAACCTAAAGGCAGAGGACACCTTCACTACTAACCAACCCCCACCCCCGCCCCCAACCCCCCACCCCACCCTCCTCCAATATTGTACACCATTGGGCACAGTGAGAGGAGGTATAAAATGACCTACCCTGCACTGTCTTCCCTCTCAGGGGCTGGGAAGAGTTGTGTCCGGAGGTTGTGTCAGTGGCGGCACTGTCATCTCTGTCAGGGTCTGCAACAACATCCAACACAATGAGCACAACTAACTAGCAGCCAAATAAACAAATATAATCCGGCATTGCTCTAGATGTATTAATGCTCTGAAAACCATGGTAACCAAAACCACGGATTATGTTTTCTGGGAAATTTAGATATGAAGAAATACTGTCAATGAAAGTGATATTTTTCAAGGTCCCATGATGTTGACATAATTACAGAACTGTTACCAAGGTTACAATGTTCTGGCAACACAGAGTGACTGATACAAAGTACATAACTGGCTAAAATGTTAAGTTAAGCATTTTTTAAAAATAGATGTCAAATGACGACACAGTGAACTTTGTCATGAGGGGTAAGGAGCCAGTGGGGAGCCAGTGGGGAGCCAAGGGTACCAGGTTGTGTGGCATCCATTCAGCAGCGCTATGGAACAAAGACGAGTAACTTGATTAGTGAACAGAGCAATGAACAATGATCACAAACTGCAGAGTGTTTTTAATTGAATGAATCAAATACACGTGATCATGTACACTGTGTATTTATTTTGATTTTCTACTCATTCCTGGGTAGACTTGACATAGTTGGCACATGAAACCCATAACAGGTAGTAGCTGCAATAACAGACAATAAATGGAAAGAATGCCATGCACTTAACCATTACCAATATTCCGTATTTTAAGAAAACAAATTGTGTTGTACACTTCAGAATTAATTTGCTCACTAACATACATTTTACATCAATACATGAACAACATGTGAAATGTTTAGGTTAGGCAGGTTATTTTATATAATATAAATATACCTACAAATTATATGGGCCCTCATAAACACGACAAAAGTAGACATTTGTCGTTGCTTTGTCGCATCAACTACTTCGGGAATATTAGCCGGAGCAATTAATCAGTAGACTCCTGAAAAAAACAAAGCAAACACGAAACTCAAAACAATGAAGCGCTCGTAAAATAACTTGGGCACTCATCATCTGAAAAGTAAGAAATACGTTGTTGGAATCTGAGACCACATATCCGTATATGGTCTCTGTTGGAATTCTTGGGTTACACTGTGAATGGCGCCAACCATGTTGCTTCAATTATTATACACAGCAGAATGCAACAAAGTCCCCTGCCTTCCTGCTTCATCGCCACGAAAAAAATTGGCAGAGAGGCACGAAAACAGGTGACACTGTCTTCCATGAAAGCGTGACTGCAAACGGCTGTCCGAAACCTGACAATGTCATGTACATGCTTCGTCCCTGTTTGAGCGAATGGTGAACTTCTCGCCAGAAATATAAAATGTCGAGTGAAAGACATTGATATACCTACCTCCACACTCATGTCACACTGACCAGGGATGGCGTTGCAGACTGACTACAAGCCCTGGGTTTTGAGATTGGTGTGAATTGTCTATATAAACCTGAAGGCTGCTTCTCACTTTATATTAGACATGGCTTCTTTTCCCGGAATTACCGCATTTGAGGTTTTGTTTGCTCGCAGGTTTTACTTTTCGTAATTAAGACCTATTTCTCGGTTTTACTTTTTGTAGGTAAGACGTCTTCCCAGGTTTTACTTTTCCTAACTCTATATTAACATCAACATTCAAATTCAGATGATATGTTAGTGTTTGAAATCAATTGAAAAATATCGTCAAAGATCAACTTAAATGTGAAAAGTTTTTGTTTTCCCGAGTAGGATTGGAACCGTATATTTCAGATTCATAAGCAGACGCTCTGCCTCACAGCCACCGGGCCGACACAGAAGGGGTGTTGAATTATCTGTTTATAGTTAGGCCTACTGTCATTCAATTGATTTTACTAGCGCTTCAGTTACTGTAATGTAGCTTCATTACATGATCATCTAACTATCCATCATTGACGGTTTATATGTATAATAAAGCACGACTCCGAGGTTATGGTTGGGAAAGTAAGACCTCGAGACGGGTGGGTGGAAGTAAGACCTCGAGCGTTACTACGCGCTCTCGGTCTTACTTCTCCCCACCCTCCGGTCTCGGGTCTTACATACCCCCCAAAAAAGTGGGTCAAAGTGACTGAAGCGCCAGGCAAATATCTGAAAAACTGCCGTTAACAGGACCAAGTTGGGGTGTGCTTCAGGTGTTATACCGAGAATGAGGTGTGACAAAGGAATAATTTCCATTGCTCCGCCCATCGTTATACCCCACCCACACTTGGACAACACAAAAAGTGCATTTTCGCTAAAGTTTATCAGCCACACCTGCTTGAAACAAGTTCTTTCTACATTTCATAAAATTAATGCTGTGTGGGAAAAAAACGCTGCGTCACATGGGCTTAAACTGTTATCATTGTTATTGTTATTGCTATTGTTGTTGTTATTGCTATTGTTGTTGTTGTTGATGTTGTTGTTGTTTTGGGTTGTGGTGGTTGTTGTTTAACGCTGCACTCAGCAACATCCCGACTATATGGAGCCGGCGTGGACCAGAAAATACAGTAATCAACTGCTTGGAAAGCTGACTGGCTGTGCGTGTGACCGTTTCTTCACAGTGTTGGACATGATACACACACTGTCATAGCTACTCAAGCCTTCAGTGAGATATATTACAGTGTTGAATGCATTACTGCCTGGGTCCAGTATCCAAGGAAACACGCACTGTTACTGTAACATCACTCGGGTATCTGGACGACGGATACGGCAACACGTTGCACAAACAGACAGACAAACTTACATGAATTCATTAAAATTAAGAAGCCTGTGGATATTTCACCCTGGTGGTGTTATTCTTATATATAGGGGGTAAAAAAAATAGGAAATTTACGAAAATAGCCTTCACAAAATGACTAAGGTTTTCATGATCGAAACCCAAACCGCAAGACTCACACTCGGTCAAACCTAAGCACACTACCCACTCGACCACCACACTTTTCATCGTGAAAAGAATATATAATGTTGCTCTCACGTCACCGATACGACGTGTGCATCGACGTTGATCCTTAGAATTAGCTGTATTATTGACCAATGCCTACTTTCTCCCCCACCCTCTTCCCCTCCCCCAATCTTTCCATCTCTCGGAAATGTTAACTTGCTCCTACACGGTATTGATGGAGGGGCTGAATAAACATTCATATATTATGGGCGGAAAGGCAGTACGGCTGTTTGGCTCCGAATAATGCTGTATAGTACTGCACAATGTGCGATAAGTTGGAACAAGTTATACATGGTATTCTAGCCACTTGTGCATGATTAATCAACTGAAATTGAGATAGGTAGTTTTTCTTGACATTGGCGTGGCGTGGCGTGGCGTGGCGTGGCGTGGCGTGGCGTGGCGTGGCGTTTAAACAAATGTTTTTAAGAGGCATTTACAAGTTGGGACACGAAGGAAGGATAGCAATTTAACAAACAAATTAGTGGAATGTTCACACGAACGCTTCCATAATTGACGAGGGAGTTCAAGGACAACGTTGTAAGATACAGATGCACCAAGCATGAGCACAATTTGGGCATTTGTGGGTAAAAGTTGTCTGCCCTTTGACCATGTGCGTGGCTGGCGGAAGCAACGGAAGCGATGTGAGAAATGGAGAATGGAGTGCACTGCCCCTGACGTCCTTGGCGGACCTCTCACTCACACTATCAGCACTGGTTTGTGCAAGCTAGATTTAATTGCAGAGAATGGTTATGTTGGTACTCCTTGGTGTAGATGAAAGGTCCTTACTGACAACATGGCATATCATACAAAACATAAATCTACTGAAGACAGACCCCTTATGAAACGGACGTAGATGTAGCATGGATGTATGTATGAGTGGTGAGTGGTGTATCCATCTCCCTTCGATGTAGGTATCAGAAGTCTGTGGGGTACCTATCTACCCTGGATGTAGGTAGTGAGTGGTGGTTTCATTAGGGGCTTGCTTCATGGTCTGTGGCAGGCGTCAGCATATTCACAGCCGCCGTCATGTTTAATGTACAAAGAACGTAGCTAACGGAATGTGTTGCCTCATGTAATGTTTTTAATAGGGATAATGCCATGGACGGTGAGAAATTCAGAACACAACATTTTATGCTCTAAAAACCCACCCACGGTGGTACATGAGAATATAATGATATACAATTGAACATAAATATATAATAAAGATGGCAGATACTAGAATAGTGGTTAAAATTTCAGTGCATTTGACAATGTATTTAAATATTTTGCGAGCTTTTTTCAGATGTTTTGTTTTTCTTTATTGAAAATAGCCGTTTAAGGTTTAAACAGATGAGACTGGAATGCTGGTCACTTTGACTTCGCTTTTGGTGTACGGGTACAGAGCGTTCGACTTTTCGAACAGCGTGTTGTGAGCCAAGATCAAAGCTGGATTGACTTTGACCTTGCACACCTGCAAGTAAGCGTCCAAAAGGTGAACTTTGAATTCATGTGCGGTAACACTGCTCATCAAACAAAATTTGGGGTCCGATCTGAACATTTTCAGGGTCAGGTCCACGTCGTTGGGTAGAAGTCGGTTCATGTCGAAGATGTCCTCGTACAAGGGTCCCGACATGGTGAATTCTTTGCTTTCCGCTATGAAAGCGGAGCGTGCCAACACTCCTGTATTATTAGATCCGGTGACGTCACTGTTTTCCAAATCAGCGTCAAGTATCGCCAACATCCTTTGTAGAACAGCTGAGTGGACAACTGGGTGTTTTTCGCTCTCGCCATATATCCCAGCAAGACTTTCATCATGCTCTTTGTAGGCGTAATGGTTGTTGGTCGAAGACACGAGCTGGTTCTGTAGGTACACCGCCAGCTGCGAGAACATTGTTTGCAGGAACAGATTTGTTGGGGCGACATTCTCATCAGTAGCTAAGGAAGTACCATCGGCCTGTGTTACTTTGACTTTCACGTGCAGACGAAAGCGTCTCAGGTCGGTGTAGTCGGGACCCGAGTTGTTTACTTGAAACTCCAATGGCGCACCATCATTGATGTGGCTTAAAGGTCGCACATTCACGAAATAATGTTTCTGTACGCCAGTCTGATAAGGGGTAAAGTGAAGAGATTCAAGGGTTCAATCACGAGCTCTTCGGAATTCTTTGTCGTTCAGCAGTGACATCGGTCTTGGTCGTTACTGATGTTGTTTTAACTGAAGATGTCGTTTTCTTGCACGGGTGTACACTTGAGCGCTTTGGCCGCCTTGAAGGGGCAGCTTTGTTGTTGTCGGTTCGACGATATCTTCTGGCGTAGACGACTTTTCACCAGCCTTGCGCTTTAAAGCCTTCACTCTTTGTCTTTGGCTTCCGCTCTCTCTACCTCGCTTTGCGATTCCGATGTCATTTGCAAAGTGACCTTAGTCGGCTGCTGTTGCTGCTGTTGACGGTGTGTTCCTGCTTGCCGAGATGGGATCACTAGCTTTTTCGCTTTTCCGTGGAGCAGATGAGATGTTTTCCTCACGTGTTTGTTGTCAAAATAATGTTTAAACTTGGCGTAGTCAGGGAAATACAGAGGACGTGAATCCATGGCTTCCTTTTTTGTGTATTTTACTCCACAAAAGGATAAGTTCTTAAATGAAGTGTAGCGTACGTCGCTTCCGTTAGAAATGAAGCTGTCAATGCATTTTTCCGACTTTAAATACATTTCGATATTGTCGGTTTCTTTCAGCTTGACACGAATATTAAATTCAGTACCAAACGCATAGGTAGGCCCCTGTCTTAAATCGATGCGTCTCAATAAGGCCAGTTGAGTTTCGCCCACCAATGAACTATCGCATAGATTACACAATACGTCTACGTAAGGATCCGTGACTTTACTCAGGTCCACCTTTCCAAAGTTCAGCTCCGTTAAAGACACCACCCAGAATCCGTCGAAGACTAACCTTTGATTTAAATTGACGCGAAAATGGTAGGCCGTATTCTCTGGAAAGGATGTCGTTTTGGAATCGGTGCTTTTGAGAAACACGTACTTATCCATATTTAATTTTTGTTTTTCACACCATATTACAATTCCTTTAATTCGCTTTCTTCCACGTATGAATCGAAAGACTTAGGCCACCCGAGCCACCGTACCAGAGCGTAAGTCTTCCCCCTCACTTTTTTTCTTTTGAGAACTTTCTCGACTCGCCAGAGCACGTCCGTCGTTTTGTTGACTCTCTTTAGTTCGTTCGCGTAAAAGGACCCTGCCACCGGTTCGTCGTGAAAATCTTTCAGTTTGTACTGTGGGAACGTCTGTTTCTTGTAACGTCGTGCCACTTTAAATAACTCCTCCGTCCACTTGAGGTCGAGTATCGTGCTGAAGGGTTTCCTGAGATATGAGATGCGAACCAGGTCACCCACCTTAAATACGTATTTCTTGATTTTAGGTTTACTGATTTTTCTCAAGGGCTCCAGATAGACGTGATCCCATACTTTCACTTCGTTTTCCCTGTTCACTTGTGCAGGGGACAGATGGGGTAAAGAAGAATGTAGCGTGTGGTTGTAGTTGTAAATCAGTTTTTGAAGAACGTCC